TGGTACCACGTGAGCAGACCCGCGATGACGGTGACAGGACCCATTTTCTAAATTGAAGGTATCATCTAACATTCATAACGATAAAGTATAACGATGTTGTAGAAATTTTAAATATACGGAAATCAATAAATTAAATATACCCAAATTTGCTTTAATTGAAAGAATTGTTAAACATTTTATGTTTCTGATGCCGCGCCAATGACATTTTAAAAATGCCACCATTTTAGTTTCAGTCTCACGCATGTTTCGATGAATGAGTAGAACACGTTAAAATAGAAATGAAAATAATATACCAACAAGTTATCATGTAAGGACAGTTTTTGAAATGGATACAAAATGAAATGATGCGCACAAAATATGAAGAAATTTCTGCGAAACAATTATGTATTAAAGGAACAGTAGTTTAATTGCTTTCCTCGTATTAATCATTGCTGCGACACTATCATGGAAGCTCTTTATTTGATGCACAAAGCCCAAGCAAGGCCAAGACAAACCATAGCGTCAAACAAATTGAAAGCTATAATAATCAGATATAAGTCTTCAGTTTTCCGTGTCATTTTCTCATTTGCTCCGCAATATATTATGTCCCTGAAGTCATAGGAAGTCGTATAGCAGGCTGGCGTAAAATGTGTCATAATGTTCTTAATATAGTTCGGAAGTCATTACTGATTGCTTGACTCTGTTATATTTGTACCATTCGATTATTATATAAAAGGTTATTAAATCATTTTATGTGTGAAATCGACAAAAAATAGCGGAAAATTTTAACCCACAAGTTTTCCTACTTGTTTTATATAAACGTTCTGTTAATGTTGCATTTGAAGCCATAACAATAAAATTTTGCTATTAATTAGACTAGTGTTCGCCTTTAAATCATCCCGATATTAATCTTAATAGCATTAAAAAGGTAGAAAAGTCTATACAAAAGACATCAGATAAATGGGATAATTTTTCGTGAATTGCCAAGGAAGTTACTTTTCCTGAACATAAAACGAATTTAACATCTTTTCTATATTTTTTAATGTTTGATAGGCTCCTGTTCACGTGCCATTTGGACTTCTTTCCGTGTACTTTTATTTTAGTTTTGAACATTCAGTCTGATATAACCATTACGTTAGAGAAAGTTTATTAATGTCCCCTTTTTCATTTTCAAAAGTAATTTTAATAGTTAATGTAATCGTTCACAAAAACACACACATCTATATATAAATTATTAACACAATGTCACTTCCTTCATAAGATAAGTAATTGTTAAGTGCACATTGCGTTGGTGGTTCACACACTACAATCACTATCTACATAATTAAGTATACATGGAACACACTTCCTATTGACACGATCAAACAACTATAAACTAAATTTTGAATTAGTCTAGATGTTGCCTGTAAGGTACTAGATCTGATATTTCACTTCTGATTTCCTCTGTGCTTGACAGGAGAACGTCATACCTGACGAGGTATTCGTCTCCGCTTGTCGGATGTATAGAACACCCGTTAAAACAAGGAGCAATCGAATTCCAGAGTTTTAGATCAAGATTTTTACTAAAAGAATCAGCACTGTCAGCTAAAATTTCAAATTCTTTCCAATATGAATTCATTTTAATTAAATTGTGCTGGAATGGTTGCGTAAGATATATGATTTGAAAGCTTTCATCTATATAGTATAATCCTTTAGCGTAGTCATATTTTTTTTTCTCATTTGCATCGATTTCAAAATGTATAATACAGGTTTTATAAACACCCCATTTCATAAATTGTCAAGTGTATGCTTTGTGACATGAGCATACTTGTATTCATTAAATACCTGTAAGAAAAGTATTAAAGCCATCGGTTAAAGAGAGCGCATGAAGAGAAATTCGAGCGGTTTAAAAAGATCAGACCTAGAAAAGAATACCAAAAACGCAATTAAAGAAAAAACTTTAACTACGATAAGCCAATTTAAGAAAAGTAAAACCACATCAATTGTAGTCCAGCTTACTGTGCGGCATGCGTCAAATTAAGTTGTTGCAAATGCGATAACGTGTAATCCAGTGAAAAGAAATATATATATATATATGGCATGGGGTTGACCCTTGATTATTGAAGCCATGTTTTTAAAAAGTTAATATCTATATAGCGTGTGGGGCCTCGGTGGCCGAGTGGTCTAAGTATTTACTACTGTAATTGTTAGCCAGTCAACACTGAGGTTGTGAGTTCGAACCCCGCTCGTGCGGGTGCACTCGACTCCAATCTTAATTGACTAGGATTGTCAGTTTTCCTATCGAAGGTCGGTGGTTTTCTCCGGGCACTTCGGCTTCCTCCACCAATAAAAACTGGCTGCCACGAAATAGCCCAAAAGCGGTGCTTAAAAGTGGCGTTAAAACACCAAAAATCAAAAATCAATCAAAATCTATATAGCGTGAAAACTGCAGGCCTGTGTTTCGCAAAATATTACACTGATTATAAACAAAAATTCGTAGTATCGACGATTATATAAGAACGGCAAGCTCTGTCCAGTGGTTGCTTTCTCTTGATTCCAGACAAAGAAAGAGAGCTTTCATGTTCCGTGCTAGTGACCCAAACTAGATACTAACAGAAGTCCTGTACTTGAAACAGAATGTTAAAATCGTACTTGTAAAAAATATACATTGCTTTTAATGTTGTCGATAGAAGTAAATATAGTACCAATTTTAAAATTTTAATGCAATAATGTCTCGATGCCAAAATATGCAAAGCCTTAAGCTGAAATAACTATAAAGGACAAAAAAAAATACCCAAACCCAATGGAATCACGCATGATCTCAATTTAATTACTACAAGTTTCTTTAAACAGTATCCTACTTAACACGTCATCATTATAATACTGAGCTAGCGGGCTACGTGCGCTGTTCATTTGGTTTTATTCTCGTCTATATTTAACGTCATTAGTTTTGACATAAAAAAATGTTAAAAAGTACAAGAATGAATCATACAACATTCGTTCAATAAAACGACAACAGTATGACCAAGTAAAAAATAATGATAGATAAAACACAGTAATTAACACAACTCTATAAATATACATCTGATAGATTATCCAAAACAACTATTACACTTACAAAATAGTCACCATGACTTATCAGAAAAGAATGTAAAATGCACTTCGAAAACGACAACCTCTATGTGGCATCACCAGACCACGGACAATATTTTGACGATTTCAGACATAGACTGGAATTTCGTTGAGAAGTTTTATGTTTCTTTGTAGTCAATCATTACAACGATTTTGAAAAGAAAAAACAAAAACTTTTAAAAAATATCCACAAAAAACCCAAACAATTTACTGCTTTTATACATTTCGGTATTAACGATAACCGACGTATCTATCTTCACACGATGAGGTATACTATGAGTATCACTTATGTTCATGTAGATGGTCATCCCTGTATTCCTCCAGTCCGGCAGTATATAGACTTGCTAAAGTGGGACGTCCATTGTACAGCCCGGGGTGTTTAAATACATCTAAATGGGGATGTTAAATCAGATGACTTAAAAAAGGAAGGTGTGTCAATTTTTCTGAAGCTTTCTGATTGTTCCGTATGTTGCCTGTTTGAAGGTAAAATTTCTGCCCTTATCATACATTCCTTCCTTTTACAATTTCAGTCAAAATTTCCAGTCCTTTAACCCGGCCGTCCTTCCTTGCAGAACACATCTTTTGTGATTATTGCCAATGTTTTCTCGTCCTGAGTATGCATGAAATATTTGTCACTGACATCTAAGCTAGCAACACTAATTCAATCATACATAAATGTAAGTTACCACGTTACCTTTCCCATTCGCTTCATTGGCTATCACAACTAGTAGCACTTTTACCGTAATCGATTTAAGAAAAAGTACAATGTAATTGCAATCATTAAGCATCTTCGTTTTCACAATAGCAGCGAGTTTGTTCTTTTTAGTACGATCTTGCCTAATACGAATGTAATATTGACCTCTGTACACAAACAACCAGCAATTTATCAAACTATTTGTAGAACTGCAAGTTTTTTTTTCAATAATATGCAAATGTTCTAAAACTAAGGTTGCAACTACCTCTGGTGAAGTTAACCTTGGTCAGTTTTGGCTGTTCTGATCATTCTGTTTTGCTTTTTATGCTCTCAAAGGTTTTCTATTTTGACTTTTGCAACTTTTTTAGTTCGGAGTACGTAATTAAGGTTATTAGATAGTGACACTGGTTTTCCGTTGTCTCTTTGAATGTGCAGTTATTCATTGGTGAAAGCCGCATGTTTTGTCTATTTTGGTTAACTTGTGTTGCTGGATTATTGCCTCATTGACAATTACCACCCTTCTCCTTTTATTTACAATGAACGTAACGAACTTGCGCTTCTTTCAGGTCTCCAAAAAAAACAAAATTCGTAACACTGCAATTTCTGTTTTTTTATCGTACAAGTATACACATTTTATATTCCGACAAAATCTTTACTCGGTTTGAAAACAGAGAGGAATGTCCTTGTTTAAATACAAGAATAATTATAACACGATACTAGTACTTCAAAACATGCTAGTTACAATTTTTTTTTAAGTTTCATTTAAATGTGCAACGTACATGTAGTGTAAACCTACTGTGATGTGGTTCATGTAGAAAAAAAGACGAAAACTTGTTATCATACCAATAATAATATCCGTTACTCGATTGTAGATTGACATTTATTTTATTTCCTGAATATTACGTTGTCGGTACGAGTTTTAACAGTTTAATCAAAGTATAAATATTTCAATTTAAATGTAAACTTCTTTGTAGGTAAAAAGTATCATTTTCCATGTTTTGTAAATAAAAGCGAAATAATGAAATCGGATATAGAACATAAAACATATAAAAAATTAGTCTATATGTATTTGATTTATTTTATCAAATCTTGATAATAAAATTCATTGAGTATAAATCTATGACTCTTTTGTATTAATAAAATATGGTGTAAATCTCGATATAAACCTGTGAGCGAGGTAAAATATCTTTTTGGAATAAAATTATTTAATACTTACCAACTGTTTCGAGAAATTTTCCAGATATAAGCAGAATTAAAACAGTAAGCATCCAGATCATGGTCTTAAAAAGAGAAAAAGTGAAAAGTTTAATTTTTCTCAGAGTTCGCTGTTACAGTTCACATTTTGCTTTGATCACTAATGTGTACATGTTAGATTGTGGAAAATTGTTTATTAACTCTACTTTAAATAGAGAGTGTCTTCTACACGATTATAATATACGTATGCCGGCGTCTTCGAACTGATTAAAGTCCGAAAATGTGGAGTCACCCATCTATCCGAAAAACTCTAGCGATAATTGAAAATGCATTATTATTGTAAACGGCCAATCACCTAAAACCACGTGACACTTTCATTCACCTGGGGAGGTCCCTTAAACATCTTAAATTTACTATTTTAAAGGTGTATTAAACTTAATTTGTCAATTGCAAAAAAATGCAAACATACGTTTGTTTGTACATCAGACAGACAAGCATTGAAACGGCACCGATATGATTTTAGAAGACTGTCGATTTATAGTATTATACATGTTGACAGACTACTGTCATGATAGGTTTATTACAGATATTATACATGTAATTGTTTCTCTACTGGGGGTAGTTATGATAAAATGGACATAAACTGATCGGATCTATAATAAATGAACTATTGGCAGAAACCTGTCTTCTTTTAACTGTTTAACATTGTTGGATATCCGAGACTTACCTGTTTGTATAGAAAGCCCCCTCTTAAGGTAAAACAACAGCTCATCTTTAAACTATAATCTCAAGGACTTATATAAATATAAATCAAAGTAGATGTGGGTTATATGTCAAGAGGAAGCAATCCAACAACACGAATATATTATAGAAGATATCTATAGATTAACTTGCGGTCTTCAACGATAGACATTTGTCTATGTATCTAACATATAAATTACGCGCTAAATCGCCTTAAGTCGAGGTAAGTCGTGAATGAAATAACAGAAACTATCAAAGATCTACCATTAACACAAAGCATATAACAAAGATTTAACTAAAAATATGCATGATCGAGGTTTCAATTAGGAGAGTCTTTTTATTCAAATATAACAGAATCTTTTTTACTCTGTATCAGAGTTATAATATACACGAAAGATCATAATGCAAAGGATGTTGAGGGTTAATTCCTAAATGAAGTTAAAAAAACAAACGTTTCGATAGAAGGGTTCTGGTTTTCAAGCCGAGTACCAAATAACTGATAAGGTTCGATATAGTTGAATGTTTACTATTTAAGTAATGATGTATAAGTGTTTTTTCGAACATATTTAAAAATAACTTAATGACTTCCCTTACATTATCAATTAATACTGGTAATAAAAAAAGAAAAATTACAATGCACAATTCGTTTATTTTGATGAAGTTAAGTTGTCTCACGACAGCGGTTTTCAATCATTTCCCCATTTCACTCGTAAGGGGACGACCTTTGATTTTCGGGGGGGGGGGGGGGGGGGGGTAAATGAATAACTTTTAGAACTAATATAAAAATGAAATAAAGGTGCTTAGCAACAGATGAATATTGTTAATCTGGAAAAAATTCCTCCCAGAATATTAAATGGTCGTCACCTAAGTGATATAATTATTTCATCCTTCCAGGTTTTAATGACGTATCTAAATTATTTCATTGTATCAAATCGAATATACCTTTTATTTAATGTTTAAGTATCTTATAATAGTAAACGTCAAGCTTAAATGTTGAGTAACATTTTTGACAACAATTGCTGGTATTAAAAAAGTTTATAGTTTGTGCAATAAAATCGTTAGACAGTGATACTGCTGTAGGTCTAATGCTAAGCGATATATTAAGTTTTATAACGCTATATTTTACGAAGTATGATGCTGTATCAGACTTTGTAGGATAATTGGCTGTGATCAATAATCAAGGTATCAATGACGGAAACAAACTTTCAATCCTGAACAGAATCACATCTTTGAGTTGCCTTTTTTCCATTGGTAAAAATATCTGTGAGTTTGAAAATTCTTAGGATTTCTTTCATGATGGGATGCTATTCGAATAGGTTACTTGTAACGTGAATAAGTATTGACGACTGGCCGTAATAAATCATAACTCTAATGTACCCGATATAAATGGCATTTTGTAGATATGCCGTAATTAATCAAAATACAATATAAAATTAAACCCATAGCTCAATTAATGTTTCAATGCATATACATGTATGTAGTGTTATAAAAATTATTCAAAGAACTCCACTTAAGCATGTGTAAGGAACCGTCTTGAACTTGCAGTGATGTGTTAAAAATCGTCCTGAACTTATAGTGATATATGAGCTTTTGCTCAAGCGCGTGTTATGAACGTCCTGAACCTGCAGTGGTGTGTGAGCTTCTGCTCAAACGTGTGTTAGTGACCGTCCTGAACTTGCAGTGATATGTGAGCTTCTGCTCAAACATGTGTTAGGAACCGTCATGAACTTGCAGTGATGTGTGAGCTTCTGATCAAGCGTGTGTTATGAACCGTCCTGAACTTCTGTCCCTTATTAAAAGCATTACTGTGACTATGAGTTGAAAATCAGTTGGAAAACTGTTTTGCTTTTGTATATGAAGACTTAGTCCAAGCTTATAAGAATTTTATAACATGCATTTGTAAACCGAATTTCTTTCTTTTTAGCATACAGTAATTATTGAGAAAGAATGTAACACTCCATTTCCGGAAGTCATAACGGTAAAATTCTGCCCATCCAATCACTTATCACTGCTGCTGACAGGATAATTAGTTACAGGATAGAAATTTAGTTAATAGATTATGTAATTACACTAAAACTTTAGTTCTAACTCATCCTTTAGCAAAGGTAAGCATTAGACGGTAAAATTAAGCTACTCTATTTTGACCTTTTTTTGCTGCATTTCACAAATGTGTACTTTGCTCCCCTAGATGGAAAGGTAATCAAACAAATTTATATATATATAGTTACAAATTCACGAAATAGAAATCCTAAAATTGAAGTAATAAACGATATTGAGAAACATATGGGTTGCTATATAATTATCCATATAGTCTAGGAAAAAACTAGAAAACCTTTAAAACATACAAAATGTTCAGGAAAAGTAGACAAACATGATATTGAAGCGAATATCATTATGGAACTGTCCGTAAACAGTTTTGTATGATACATTCAGTAAACAGCTTTTTATGGTACAGTCAGTAAACATCTTGTTTATGACAGAGTTGGTAAACAGCTTTTATTGTACAGTCATTAAACAGTTTTTTATGGTACAGTCAGTAAACAATTTTTTTATGGTAGAGTATGTATAAGCTTTTTTATGGTACAGTCAGGAAACAGCTTTTTATGGTAGAGTCAGTAAACAACTTTTTATGGTAGAGTAAGTAAACAGCTTTTTATGGTACAGTCAGTAAACTGCTTTTTATGGTAGAGTGAGTAAACAGCTTATTATGGTACAATCAGTAAACAGCTTTTTAAGGTACAATCGGTAAACAACCTTTTTAAGGTATAATCCGTAAAAGCTGTTTACATAATGTTATGGTACAATCAGCTTTTTATGGTACACTCGGAAAAAAATTTCATGGTAAAATCGGTAACAGCTTATTTATGGTACAACAAGTAAACAGCTTTAACCCGAAAGTGCTGACAGGGGCAGATCCAGGATGGGCAGGGTGATTAGACTCCCTAACCTTGTATTTACCCTCTACCCTTGTATTTTGAGTACATGTTTCTAATCTTTAAGTGCAGCTCCATTATTTTTGAAAATCCGGGAATCGCCCATGGCCGAGGATTAACCAGAGAAAATGCAGATAATACGGCTATGATAGTTTAATTACCCTAAACTTGGTTGATGAATTGAAGTACATATCAGCTTATATGGACTGTAAATGTAAAAGATGATTACAAAAAAGTAGCAAATGCTATTATATGATCCAAACTGCTATGGTCAATAACTTAAACGCTCTCGACCGTAGATAGATTGCTTGATGTTTTGCTTTACGGAACCGATGTTATAATATTTTAAATATTAAATATTGTTTATCGACTAAGTTAGAGTTACTGACAGCTTGTCTAAACCCGATCGTCATTGTGTAAATTTTATTAACGAAGATGATCTGTCGAACTGGTATTATTGTGAAGTTGGGTTGATGTTGCATATCTCCTTAAATCAAATGCACTTGAGAAATTAAAGCTTGGGACAATTTTCACAAGTATAACTGTATATAATGCAGACAGAGAGCATGCGTTTATATTTATAAAATGGCAAAGTAAACACGATTCAAAATTATTTTCTCAGTTATGTAAAAGAAATCTAAGTTTTAAATTCATTGCAATTCTTTAATTCAATATTTTTTACTCATATTTCACAATATAATTAAACTTAACATACATATAAATTAAGGATAACTAATGAACCGTACTTCAAAGACAAAAGGTTTGTATAGTGTCCTGATTTGTAAATAAATATATGTGTTTTGTACTTAATAGGATAAATGAAATTTAGGTAAATTCCTTTATCCGTAAAATTTAAAAGAAAAATCTATCATGTGTAGGTGTTTTAAATTTTAACTCTAAAACTGGCGCCAAACTTTTATTTCTTGTTAATTAATAATGTAAAAAATATATTTTGACGCCAAAGTTAGTAAAACGTTCACAGGGTGCAGTACGTTTTATACAAAGTATTTGAAATGGTTAAAGGCGATCATGATTATAGCTTGTAAACAATTATACCAATATAAACATTACGATTATTCCATATATGTAAGTTTTAATGAACAAAATTGTTCAGAATACTGTCTCTTTAAGCCCCTCCTAATTTCTTTGATGTTTGATTAGCATTTTATTGTTTTCCTTTGTGATCGTAGGTTATCAGGTAACTTTCATAGACTGATATTTTCTATCATAAAAAGTTTTGAAGATTCACGTGGAGCCGAAGAGACAAGTTCTGATCATTCGTTAAACTGGAACTTGATACCAAATTATGAATATTAAATAAGTCAATGTGAATCTGAAAGAAATTTATTATTGACCATGCCCAGGTACAATTATTGTCTCAAAAAGTTTAAGCTCTAATTGATTAAATAATTGGAAATAAAAAGTGCACTTCGTTCATGCTGATGTTGTGACCATGTCATTAATATATTTTATGGCAAGCCGTTTTGCTATTTATTTTAACTTCAAGATCTCATAAACCATATAAGATATATTATAAACTATATCAGATATCTTATAAACTATATAAGATATCTTATAAACTATATCAGATATCTTAAAATGTATATAAAATATCTTATAAAGTTTATAAGATATCTAATAAAGTTTGTAAGATATCTTA